ACGGAAACGGTGGTGCGTTGAACACTCTGTTCTGATGACGCAAGAGTTGCAACTGTGGCAGCTGAGAAGGCCATTCTTTGTGTTCTTTTTGAAGAATTTTCGGAGCCTGATGAAATCGGTATAAATACGTGTTTAATACTGCAAAATACGCTCCATGTTACAGTCACTATAAATTCCAGAATAAAAGAGAACATCCCAATAGAGTGAAGGGATTTGTGGAAACTGTGGTTCCTAATTATTGTGATCCAACATTTGCCTCGCATTTCAGGATGAAAAGACAAACATTTCAGGTGAAGGATAATCCACTTCTTACCTCCAAGACTGTGTTATGATCTATATGACCTTATTATTTTTATTGTGAGTATTAGGCTTATCATTATTGCTGATCACTGTTGTTGTGCTATGATATTGTAATATTTACCATTATATAATCAGAGGAGTTTATGAAAATGTCACTCCACAATGCAATAGCAAGATATATAAATATTTATAGTATTTTTATGTTACATTAATCAGTATTTAGCACACCTTCCTAAGGAAAGGATATGGACCAGAAGACATTGCAATTACTAAATGATATTTAGACAGACTTAAAGAAGTTCCAGATCTATACTTGCCCTTATTATTTCAGTTATTTTGCCTTTAATGTAAATAAACATGTGCAAACAATATACTTGGTCTTGTAAATGTATTTTGATGTTAATTACATTGTGCGAGCTGTCTCTTTAATACCGCGTGGTTTATATACATGTTGCTGCTGATTGGGCTGACATTTTTGACACACCCACCAAACAAGAGAAAACGCCGTTGCACACCATTTCCAGGAAACATGTCATTCAACCCGGAAACCGTAGCAAAATGGTGCACACCGGTTTGAGCTTGAACTTGCCCCAGGATTTTTTTCTACTAAACTAATATGATCTTTGAGTTTTTAGAAAAATTTGTTTAACATCGGTGTTCATTATAGGCTTGGCAGAATTTTTCATACATTGAAAAGCAACCTTTTCTTCACAAAAGGTTTCACAAAACCTTGTGTGTGTGTGTGTGTGTGTGTGGTAAAGAGTTTTATTAGAAAGACGACGTGTGCTCATTAATGTTTTGAACATGGCAAATGTAAAACATCGCCCCCTGTTGGTGTAATTTATTACAGCAAGGTACTTTACAAGTCAGATGATGCAAATTATTTATTTAATAATTTACACAGATACAGATTACAAACAAGACTCAAGTTATATTATCACTTAATGCTAGTAATGCTAGATATTATGTAATCTAAATATATCATTATTTTGTATACTTTCTATATGAAATTAATTTAAATCTTTATTTTTTATTTGACATACAAATAAAGAAATCTTCATTCTCAATAGGAAAATTTATTTAAATGTTGGTAATTTGGGGCTGATTTAAAGAAATATGTATACATTTGTTCTAATCGCTGTACTTGCACAGCTTATAGAATGTTTGAAGAAACTGAAACATATATATATATATATATATATATATATATATCCCTGCAAAAACACAAAAACAAACAGAGCTGAAGGACTTCTGGTCTTTTAAGATACTGCTGGAGTAATTTACTGTCTCAGTTATTTGAGTATTATTTCAAAACTATAAACATGATAAACAGTTGCCAGTGTATTTGGACTTACTGCATTGCCTTTCATAATCCCTACAGCAGTTTCTGCGGCAGCCAGGATTGCAGTTGCAGCGGTTGCGGATGTCAAATCTCTCACCACATCTTCTACGACAAGAAATTGAGGCTACAACAAAAAACATTTAAACAAGCATTATGCAGAGAAGTGAGTGGTAATAAGAAGACATTAATGTGTACATGTGTGTGAAAGAGAGTTACACTGATTGGGTGGAGGTCTAAAAGTAGTAGTTGTTCTTGAGGTAGCAGAAACTCGTGAGGTAGTAGAAACAGGCAATGCAGTAGAAGCAGTTGTGGCAGCAGAAATAGGTGATGTAGTAGATGCAGGTGAGGCCGTAGAAACAGACTGGCATGTGCTTGAAGGGTTGAAAATGACGAATCCTGGAAGGTTCTGGCCAATGTTGTTGGTGATCCAGCTCTGATACTGTGACACACGGGTGCGTTGGGATCGGCACAGCCATAACCCCAGCTGGTGATACCAGACTGAACCCACACCAAACACTGCTTGCTCACCATTGGACCACCAGAGTCTCCCTACGCAAAGACGGAGAGGAGACATTTTTCTTTGAGCAATATATTAGAAGAACCTAATGGACTTTCAGATACGCAGCATGTTTTGAAATGGTTGTTGTACCTGGCAGGTGTCTTTGCCTCCCTCCATTAAACCAGCACACATCATGTTGCTGGTAACAGATCCAGAGCCCAGAAGAGTATTACATCGATCATTAACCACTACTGGAACCATAGTCTCCTGCAGGATCCCAGGAGCAGGTAAACTCACAGACCACCAAAAACTCACACAACCTTCTATTAGTGATGTTAGGAAGAGATGCATAAGTGAATTAATGGAGTTGCATGTGTTTGTACCTCCAGACTGAACATATCCCCAGCCTGTGATCCAGCTGCTGGTGCCAGAAGGGAAGGCACTGTTCTGGGCCGCCAGACACACGGGTTTAATATAGTCATTAAAAGTGACTGAGGAGGAGAGACGGAGCAGAGCAATGTCATTGTCGCTGGTTTGACTGTTGTAGGAGGGGTGGACGATGATGGAGATGACATTTCTACTGATTTCATAGGTATTGACTCCTTGCTGTGTTTTCTTTCCCAGGTACACAAGCAGATCGGATGCGCTGACACTGAAAACAGATGAAGGTGAAGAAAAGAAAAGAATCAATCAATAGTGTAAAAACAGCCTCAGAGCCCGTGGTTTGGATGAATAGTTGAATACTGATGTGAATCTTACCCAGGTAAACAGTGAGCTGCAGTCAGCACCCATTCACTGTTGATTAGGGAGCCACTGCAAAAATGACCTCCGAAGTTGGAGCTGTGCAGACTGACCTGCCACGGCCATGAACCCTCAAATGCATCCACACCGCCCACAATATGGGTGTTCAGAGGGGCCTGTCCACAAACTATGAGAAAGAAAGAGAGGGAGATTGTTCTCTTGCACATTTCTGTTAAAAAAAAAGCTGACATCTTAAGAATGTGACAAGCTCTTACCATTCAACTGAGAAAGTGAACCTGTAGTGGAAGAGACAGAGTAGCACACATTAAATTATCCCTCATGAACCAGGACCATGGCAGAAACATGTACTGCTGATGAAGTTTCTAAGTAAAAGACCTTACCTTGAACACATAAGAGCAGGGCCAAACCGACACACGTTAACCTCCACATCTTCGCAAACGGTCTCTTCTCTTGCAGGGTGGATGGAGATTGTGAATTTGGTTCTCTTTGCTCACAAAACCTTTTTATATTCACTTCTCCAGTCTCTGCTTGTCACTCGTCTAATCACTCTAATGTCGCACTAATCTATTTTTACTATTATTTTGCTCCTCGCCCTGTTTTCATAATGGAAGCCTGTTAAACGTATTCTAGAACTAAATTCACTTAATATGCAAGTTTTGTTTTCAGAGATTATCAGTTTTGTTCATCTCAGTCTAATTCGAACAGGGTGTTCATATTTTAGCCAAAAATTAATTATTTACTCACCCTCATGTTGTTACAAACCTGTTTGTGACTTCAAACAGTGGAACAGAAAAGCAGATGTTAGGAATGACACAGCAATCACCATTCTCATTTCACCATTCACTGCATGGAAAAAAAGGACAACATATAATTTTCAGTTTTTGGGTGAACTAACTATTCCTTTAAGAACAGTGGAAACATTTTTTGAGATTTAAAGTAAAATATAAAGAATAAATGGCAAAAGATTATACTTGAAGTTTAAACAAATAGCCATGCTTTGTTACGAAAATAATAGAAATTACATTTAAATTCCAGTGAAAGTGATCAAATATTCCGTTTTTTTCCTTACATTGACTTTTTTTGTAATTCTGGAATAATTAAATGATCCAAAACAAACATTTGCCGTTTAGTAGGCAGTTTGATTTCAGATATGAAAATGCAGAGCAACATGTGAGAGAATGTGAGCTGATTATTTACAGGAGACATCTGTCACCACCACACAGCAATTAAGCTAAGCTCAGTTTATCTGGATTTGTGACAAACAGGTACAAAAAAAAGTGTTGGCGAAACACACAAGTACAAAAATGACAGTATCTGTTAGTTTGAGACACTAATGAGACACTAATTATGACTTAAAGGCAGAATGTGGCAATCAGAAATTTTACAGTGTCATTGTAAAAGTGTAACAGAGGGCAGGTGAATCAATGTTGCAATTGTAGCGTTCCAGCAATTTCAATTTCATATTTCAAAATAAATCATAAAGTTCAAGCAATAACTATCATTCTTTTAGGTGTTTATTCATAATCTCAGAAAACAAGCAAGAAAAACAACACATATTAGCTGATCATCATTTTTTCAACACAGCATTCATTTGAATTTCTAAATATAATTATCTTTCACTCTGTCTCTATCTATCTATCTATCTATCTAGTAGATATATAAGATATGTTTAAACAAGTGTTATTTTAAAATAAATTGATATATGTGATGTGATTTATTATAATTATATAATCTTTAATGTTATTATAATTACCTGGATGTAGAGTACACATCCTCATTAGACTTACTATTCTCAGCAAGATCAAACAGCAATAAATTATTATATAACATGAACATCCTGCCCGATTATAGAGATGAATAAAAATGTCTGGAAAAAACTTTGCATGTAATATGTTAAGAAGAAAATTTCGGTCTGCATTGTGAAAACAGGGCGAGGAGCAGAAAATGATATTAAAAATGGATTAGTGCGACATTAAAGTAATTAGACAAATGGCTAGCAGAGACTGGAGAAATGAATATATAAAAGGGTTGTAAGAGCAAAGAGAACCAAATCCACCATCTCCATCCATTCTGCAAGAGAAGAGACGGTTTGTAAAGATGTGGAGGTTAACGTGTGTCGGTTTGGCCCTGCTCTTATGTGTTCAAGGTAAGGTCTTTTACTTAGAAACTTCATCAGCAGTACATGTTTCTAAGGTAAGGACTTTTACTTGCTTAAGGTAGAAACTTCATCAGCAGTACATGTTCAAGTGGGATAATTTCATTAAATTAATTAGCTAGAGGATGTCACACATAGCTAGATGTCCATGAAATCTTTCCTATTTAATGTGTGCTGCTCTGTCTCTTCTGCTACAGGTTCACTTTCTCAGCTGAACGGTAAGAGTTTGTCTCATTCTTCATATATTCATATGAATCATATAGTTTTACAGAATTGCACATCTGTCTGTTTCTCTCATAGTTTGTGGACAGGCTCCTCTAAACACTTGTATTGTGGGCGGTGTGGATGCCTCTGAGGGTTCATGGCTGCGGCAGGTCAGTCTGCACACTTCTGGACGTCATTTTTGCGGAGGCTCCCTCATCAACAATGAATGGGTGCTGACAGCAGCTCACTGCTTACCTGGGTATGATTCACCTAAATACACGAATGCACTTGTTTTGTTTTGATTGTTAGATGTATGTTTTTGTTTTCTCGCTTTTCTCTTACTGTATTTAGTGTCAGCGCATCCAGTCTGCGTGTGTATTTGGGAAGGAGGACGCAGCAAGGAGTCAATGCCAATGAAATCAGCAGAAATGTCACTACGATCATTGTCCACCCCTCCTACGACAGGACCACAAACCACAATGACATTGCTGTGCTCCGGCTGTCTGCCAGAGTTACCTTTAATGACTATATTAGACCCTGCCAGGTACAACAACCATTTCAAAACATGCTGCGTATCTGAAAGTCCATTAGGTTCTTCTAATATATTGCTCAAAGAAAAATGTCTACTCTCTGTCTTTGCGTAGGGGTGGTCCAGTGGTGAGCAAGCAGTGTTTGGTGTGGGTTCAGTCTGGTATCACCAGCTGGGGTTATGGCTGTGCCGATCCCAACGCACCTAGTGTTTACACCCGCGTGTCACAGTATCAGAGCTGGATCACCAACAACATTGGCCAGAACCTGCTGGGTTTTGTTACCTTCAACCCTACAAGCACATGCCAGTCTGGTTCTACAGCCTCACCTGCTTCTACATCAGCCACTTCTACAACTTCTCCAACTACTACTACTACTACTACTAAATCACCAACTACTACCACCCCAAAACTTCTACTACCATAAGACCAGCAACTACTACTCTTTCACCCAGTTACAGTAACTCTTTCTCATACTCTACACACTTATATGTCCTGAAAGGGATAGTCCACCTAAAAATGAAAATTCTGTCATCACTTATTCCCCATTTATATCATTCAAAACCTAAATGAATTTACTATTTCTGTAAGAAAAGATGCTTTGAAGAATGTTGTTACCTAAATAGTTTTGGTTACCATTGACTTGTATTTTTTTGTCCATACACTTAAAGTCAAAGACAACTGATTTCTCAAAATATCTTCTTTCGTGAATTCTCATTAACACTACATACTTCTCTGCTTGATAACGTCTTTTTGTTGTAGGCTCAACCTCTTGTCAAGGGAGATGTGGTGAAAAATATGACTTTCGCAACCGCTCCAACTGCAGTCCTCGCTGCCTCATAAACTGCTGTGCGGATTATATAAAGATATGCAGTAAGTCAAAATACACACACAAACAAACAAGTGATCATAATTCTGAAACACAAACCAAACATGATTCAAATTCTGAATTCTTTAGTCTAGAAGTCTTCAGCTTTGTTTGTTTTTGTGTCTCTACAGGGTATTAGGAAATAACTCTTGGCTGGCACGATCCTCTGAATGGCTCACCTGCACTATATGTTTTCAATTTGTTTATACATTCTGTGCAACAATTTCATGCATCAAGTACAGATTATATAACAAAATATTTCTTTAAATCAGCAAAGAATCAACTGATTTTAAATTGATTTCTTCAAAATGTATGTGTAATGAGTGTCTAATTTCTTCCCTCTTCAGACTAATGATTAATTTATCGTGTTTGTGTGTCAAAATTGTACCTAAATATTTCAAAATTCATTTTATGGAGCATACAAAATCATACAAGCAGAATATATAATAGCATAACTTGATAATATAATTTCTTGTTTGTAATCTGTATTATATAAATGACTAAATAAATACTTTGCGTCATCTGGCTTGTAGTGTCTTTAATGTTATAAATCACACCAATGGGGGTGGATAAAAGATGTTTGTAGATTCATGGTACAAAATACATGCCTTTGTACCGCTACGACAAGGATGTACAAATATTAAAGTGATGGAAACACACTGCTCAATACTCAACTGAAAAGTAGATTTAATTTTAAACGGATTTCCGGATTTGGATATGTAAAATTGATATGTAGAAATGCAAGTTGCAGTACCATCCGAGAGCCACACTGAGCTTCCACACAGAGAAAACCAACCCATATTTTCCCTCACCAATTATGAGGAGGCCATCCTTGCTTCTCAAAGATGTATCCACTGTGTAAAAAACTGGATCTGTGGTAGAGATATAGAGACATGCGAAGAGAAAGATTTTTAGCACACTAGCAACACTAAGGAAATGTGTGAACTGATAAAATGCATATTTTCAATGTAATGCAAGTCGCTTTGGATAAAAGCGTATGCCAAAATAAATGTAGGACCTCAAGGTAACCAAAAAGGCCCATTTCCAACACACAATACAAGGGGCCCAGAAAACCTAGCGATGGCCCTAATCTTTAGGGTGTGTACTGTAAATGACAGAATTTGCCTACCAACTTCTTGCTTGTATATCTTGTTACAAAAGACAAGCATAAACCATAAAAAAAGTAATTTCATATCAAATAAAAAGCTGTTATGATAACATTACTACATAACAAGATAACAAGAAAAGTAAGTTGAATAAGCCTGTATTGAATATTTATGCCATTTTCTCAAGGATTTCCGTTTTCCAGTTTGGTTGTTGCTTTCTGTTTCCAGAAATTATTACTACCAGTTTTCACATCCGCACAAAGTGCAACTTCTAAAACATGCTCTCGTGCTGGGAGGATCTTCCTCATCGGACGGCGGCTGGGACGGGTCGGTTACGGGGAAGTGGCGTGACAACGCAGGAGGAATCTGCAGTTGGCAAGAGTTATATGGTCAAAACTTCTAAATTAAAAAATCGCGGAAATTTAACCGATGATCTTGGAAGAAAAGTATGTTTATCAACTGGAGGTCGGAAAAGGGGAAAAATAAGAAGACTGGGAAAGTCAAATGAAAAGAAGAAAGCGGTGGCGGGTAAGCACAGCTGTGTTGTGAATGGACCAGAGTGGGGAGATTCTGATATAGTGGATAGTGAGGATAGTATGGAAACAAGTCAAGGAAGCGGAAGAATGAGGGAGAAAAGAGAAAATACTTTTGAAGGGATTAGAGCAAAGAAAACCAGGCGTAGTCGAAGTTTTGAAAGAGGAGTAGAAGAGAGTGACCATGAAAGTTTGAAATTTAAAATGATACTGAGATTCGGCGAGGAGAAGGGAATATCATCAATGAGTCCAGTGAAATTGACAACTATTTTGCGAAACCAGATTGGCTACATACATATGGCAAAGGTTTTAAGAGATGGAAATCTACTGATTGTGTGTAGAACTGAAGAGCAGAGGGAGAGGGCTGGCAGAATTAAGGAAATAAGACAATTTAAAGTAATAAATACAAGTCGTTAGAAAGTTTATTTTTGTATCTTAAGAGAACAGAGCTGATTAAGATAATTTAGTGGGAAAAATCTTCTTGAGGTAAAGAAGTAAACATTTATTTATTTATTTTTATTTATTTATTTATTTTTTTTATTTTTTTTTGTTCTCTTATTATGAAAGGGTAAACTCTGGTTCACACTCCAATACAGTAGGTGGCGATAATGCACCTTAACATTGGTGCTACCCGCCATAAAACCGAAGAAGAAGAAGAAGATGCTCTCATGCTTGTGAGTGAGGGTGTGATGCCTGCCTGCCTGCCCCCGTGACAAATCCCTGACGCCTTCATCCGGGACTCTTCCACCAGACCACTCACTCTCCAACATGGCGGCGTCAGGTGAGAAAAATGCGCTCCCGCGGTCTGCCTTCATTTGTAGGCGTCTTTGCGGAACAGCTCTAAACAAGTTTGTAGAACACTCTTGGGTTCAAACGTAAGGGTTATGGCATTCACTGTGTGCGTTTTTCGATAACCGCACTGCTAAATATACTGGGAAAATACACTGAAAACACGAAGGATTAGTTGTATTGGGGAAGCCTTATGCTCAAATGAATTAGCCAGTTTGCTAGCGGCCAAATCATGTGCCTCGTCTGTCTTGTTCTCCTCTGAAGTTTTAGGACGGGACGAAATTTTGCAAACGGATGTTTGGGTGTTTTAATGTACGTGGTAGTTTATAAGGTTAATGCACGTAAAGTTTTGATATTATGGTAAATGATAGTGCCTGAAGTTCATTGCTAATAACCCGTGCTTGGCGCGCATGCGCAGTACGATCCAGAGGAGGGACCGGAGAGGTCACCACGTGCGTGGAGCCGTGGGCATAGAGCTGAAATAGACTTTCTCTCATCTTTTTTTTTTTTTTTTAAAGAATGGCGGTTGGGTTGGTGATTTTGGTTTGTTTCAGTGACTTGTTTTTTATGTGTATATGTGTTCCCCAAAAATACTTTTTTACGGATTTATTCAGTGCAGTTGCATCGTTACGCCTGTAGGCGGCGAGTGCCTTTTTTTTGTCGAGTCTTTGAATCATTTACTAATTCATTCTATTAAAATCGAGTCATTCATGACCAAAAAAACATGTCGTATTATTCTGTTTTAAAATGTATGTCAAGACTAGTTCTGTAAAAACACTTTACAGAGGGTAAATACTTTAAGAGGGTTTACGCATCCAATATATATATATATTCCTCAGTAAGTTAGCAAGTGTTTCCAAGGCTTGTACAAGCAGCTAGATGTACAGAACGTATGCAAGTACAGCTCTTATCTTTTTAAATGGGGAAAGACTAAATTATCTGAAACTGTTTGTTAATGATACATCTGATTGACATTTCAAGTCAATAGTAACATTTGACACCAGTGGTATCATAAATTGTGCTTCTGCTTTTCCGGGCTTGTCCAACTAATGCATATACAAGTTCTAGAGTAAACAAACATAATGTGAGTTTGTCTTATGTCACCTTTTTTCCCCACATTGATTGCAGTGTCGTCAATGCATTTTTTGCACAAGGTGTGACATTGCTCACTGGTGTGAAAGCTATTAGTGTCTGTTCTGGGTTTTATGCAATTTAATGAAGGGTGTTAAGAGGCTTTACCTGGAAATCCTCTGCAAGTGTAGTGACATTTCATTGTTAAAGCAAGCAGATATTAGAGAATAAACAAATAGTGAGATAATGTCTTTTGAATAAGCCTATCTGTTTTTTGCATGGTCATGCTACATCTGTTATCTGTGTCACGATGTGGCCCATCTAGGGTGGAAACATTAAAACATCCTTCTTCTTCTGAATGTTAATGGTGGCATCAAATTAAAATTTACCCTAGCTTTTTTCAAAATGCATCTTATTGAAAACATTTCATCCGTGCATATGCTTATTTGTTTTGACTTTATTCTTAATCAAAATGTCATAACTCTGACCCGATCTTCTGGTGAAATGGCAGCTTTCTCTCTGGTGTAGTATGCTGAACTACTTCAATCATTTTGTCCGTTCAAAGTGTAGTTCAACCAAAAATGAACATTTGTCATTTACTCACCCTCAAGTTATTCCAAACTACTGTCAGCTGTTTGGTTCAACGTATTTATCAAATAACGGAATTCCTCTGTTTTGGTGTTCTCATAGCATCTGTTTTTTTTTATTAGCTAAGAAGAATAAGAAGAAGGGCAAGACCCTGACCCTGAATGACTTCCTTGCGAATGATAGCAGTGGCAGTGTACCCCCCAGTTACCCCAGCACAAAGACCGCCAACTGGGCAGACGAGACCGATGACTTGGATGCAGATGGTGAGTAAAGGCTGGAATGCACTACATGACTTTTAAAATCTGAAAAGCCCCATTGCTAGGAGACTCGTGACAAATGAAAACAATATGTGTTCTAAGAGCGGCTCGAAATATCAAACATGTTTGATATCCTCAGACCTGATGGAATCATAGTCTGAAGAAGTGCTGCACGATTTGGGGCAGAAATCCAGTAGTTTTTTTTTTTTTTTTTTTTTCCAATGATTTTGCA